TCAGTCTATAATTTTAATGGTAGGTTTATTTGAACAGTGAGAGACAGAATAACAATAAAAAAATCCAGAAAACGCATATCAAAAATGTTATAAAATTGATTTGCATTTTAATGAGGGAAATAAGTATTTGATCCCCTCTCAATCAGAAAGATTTCTGGCTCCCAGGTGTCTTTTATATAGGTAACGAGCTGAGATTAGGAGCACACTCTTAAAGGGAGTGCTCCTAATCTCAGTTTTTTACCTGTATAAAAGACACCTGTCCACAGAAGCAATCAATCAATCAGATTCCAAACTCTCCACCATGGCCAAGACCAAAGAGCTCTCCAAGAATGTCAGGGACAAGATTGTAGACCTACACAAGGCTGGGATGGGCTACAAGACCATCGCCAAGCAGCTTGGTGAGAAGGTGACAACAGTTGGTGCGATTATTCGCAAATGAAAGAAACAACAAAGAACTGTCAATCTCCCTTTGCCTGGGGCTCCATGCAAGATCTCACCTCGTGGAGTTTGCAATGATCATGAGAACGGTGAGGAATCAGCCCAGAACTACACGGGAGGATCTTGTCAATGATTTCAAGGCAGCTGGGACCATAGTCACCAGAAAACAATTGGTAACACACTACGCCGTGAAGGACTGAAATCCTGCAGCGCCCGCAAGGTCCCCTGCTCAAGAAAGCACATATACAGGCCCGTCTGAAGTTTGCCAATGAACATCTGAATGATTCACCCAACTTATTGTGGAAGCTTGTGGAAGGGCTAACCCGAATAATACCTCATTATGACAAAGCAAAAACTGATTTTATGAATTTTTGCAACCAAGTTATTAAAAATAAAAAAACTGAACAATTAAGTATTTTCAGACCCTTTACTCAGTTACTTTGTTTGAAGGCACCTTTGGCAGCAATTTACAGCCCCACAAGTCTTCTTAGGTATGACGCTTACAAGCTTAGGCACACCGGTATTTGGGGATTTCTCTCATTTCTCTACTGCAGATCCTCTCAAGCTCGGGTCAGGTTGGCATGGGAACATTGCTTCACAGCTATTATTCAGGTATCTCCAGAGATGTTCGATCAGGTTCAAGTCCGGGCTCTGGCTGGGCCACTCAAGGACATTCAGAGACTTGACCTGAAGCCACTCCTGCGTTGTCTTAGCTGTGTGCTTAGGGTCGTTGTCCTGTTGGAAGGTGAACCGTCGCCCCAGTCTGAGGTCCTGAGCGTTCTGGAGCAGGTTTTCATCAAGGATCTCTCTGTACTTTGCTCCGTTCGTCTTTGCCTCAATCCTGACTAGTCTCCCAGTCCCTCCCACTGAAAAATATCCCCACAGCATGATTCTGCCACCACCATGCTTCACCGTAGGGATGGTGCCAGATTTCCTCCAGACGTGACACTTGGCATTCAGGCCAAAGAGTTCGATCTTGGTTTCATCAGACCAGAGAATCTTGTTTCTCATGGTCTGCGAGTCTTTAGGTGCCTTTTGGCAAACTCCAAAAGTTGTCATGTGCCTTTTACTGAGGAGTGGCTTCCATCTGGCCACTTTACCATAAAGGCCTGATTGGTAGAGTGCTGCAGAGATGGTTGTCCTTCTGGAACGTTCTCCCATCTCCACAGAGGAACTCTTGAGCTCTATCAGAGTGACCAAGGCCCTTTTCCCCAGATTGCTTAGTTTGGCCGGGCGGCCAGCTCTAGGAAGAGTCTTGGTGGTTCCAAAACTTCTTCCATATAAGAATGATGTAGGCCACTGTGTTCTTGGGGACTTTCAATGCTGCAGATTTTTTTTGGTACCCTTCCCCAGATCTGTGCCTTGACACAATCCTGTCTCAGAGCTCGACGGACAATTCCTTCAACCTCATGGCTTGGTGTTTACTCTGACATTTACTCTGACATGCACTGTCAACTGTGGGACCTTATATAGACAGGTGTGTGCCTTTCCAAATCATGTCCAATCAATTGGATTTACCACAGGTGAAGTCCAATCAAGTTGTAGAAACATCTCAAGGATGATCAATGGAAACAGGATGCACCTGAGTTTAATTTTGAGTCTCATAGTAAAGTTTCTGAATACTTATGTAAATACGTTATTTCTGTTTTAAAAATTTTATAAATTTGCAAACATTTCTAAAAGCCTGTTTTCACTTCGTCATTATAGGGTATTGTGTGTAGATTGCTGAGGATTTGTATTTATTTAATCCATTTTAGAATAAGGCTGTAATGTAACAAAATGTGGATTAAGTCAAGGGGTCTGAATACTTTTCGAAGAATATATATATATATATATATATATATATATATATATATATATATATATATATATATATATATATATATATATATATATATATATATACACAGTGAGGGAAAAAAGTATTTGATCCCCTGCTGATTTTGAACGTTTGCCCACTGACAAAGAAATGATCAGTCTATAATTTTAATGGTAGGTTTATTTGAACAGTGAGAGACAGAATAACAATAAAAAAATCCAGAAAAACGCATATCAAAAATGTTATAAATTGATTTGCATTTTAATGAGGGAAATAAGTATTTGATCCCCTCTCAATCAGAAAGATTTCTGGCTCCCAGGTGTCTTTTATATAGGTAACGAGCTGAGATTAGGAGCACACTCTTAAAGGGAGTGCTCCTAATCTCAGTTTTTTACCTGTATAAAAGACACCTGTCCACAGAAGCAATCAATCAATCAGATTCCAAACTCTCCACCATGGCCAAGACCAAAGAGCTCTCCAAGAATGTCAGGGACAAGATTGTAGACCTACACAAGGCTGGGATGGGCTACAAGACCATCGCCAAGCAGCTTGGTGAGAAGGTGACAACAGTTGGTGCGATTATTCGCAAATGAAAGAAACACAAAAGAACTGTCAATCTCCCTTTGCCTGGGGCTCCATGCAAGATCTCACCTCGTGGAGTTGCAATGATCATGAGAACGGTGAGGAATCAGCCCAGAACTACACGGGAGGATCTTGTCAATGATTTCAAGGCAGCTGGGACCATAGTCACCAAGAAAACAATTGGTAACACACTACGCCGTGAAGGACTGAAATCCTGCAGCGCCCGCAAGGTCCCCCTGCTCAAGAAAGCACATATACAGGCCCGTCTGAAGTTTGCCAATGAACATCTGAATGATTCAGAGGAGAACTGGGTGAAAGTGTTGTGGTCAGATGAGACCAAAATCAAGCTCTTTGGCATCAACTCAACTCGCCGTGTTTGGAGGAGGAGGAATGCTGCCTATGACCCCAAGAACACCATCCGCACCGTCAAACATGGAGGTGGAAACATTATGCTTTGGGGGTGTTTTTCTGCTAAGGGGACAGGACAACTTCACCGCATCAAAGGGACGATGGACGGGGCCATGTACCATCAAATCTTGGGTGAGAACCTCCTTCCCTCAGCCAGGGCATTGAAAATGGGTCGTGGATGGGTATTCCAGCATGACAATGACCCAAAACACACGGCCAAGGCAACAAAGGAGTGGCTCAAGAAGAAGCACATTAAGGTCCTGGAGTGGCCTAGCCAGTCTCCAGACCTTAATCCCATAGAAAATCTGTGGAGGGAGCTGAAGGTTCGAGTTGCCAAACGTCAGGCTCGAAACCTTAATGACTTGGAGAAGATCTGCAAAGAGGAGTGGGACAAAATCCCTCCTGAGATGTGTGCAATCCTGGTGGCCAACTACAAGAAACGTCTGACCTCTGTGATTGCCAACAAGGGTTTTGCCACCAAGTACTGTCATGTTTTGCAGAGGGGTCAAATACTTATTTCCCTCATTAAAATGCAAATCAATTTATAACATTTTTGACATGCGTTTTCCTGGATTTTTTTGTTGTTATTCTGTCTCTCACTGTTAAAAAAAACCTACCATTAAAATTATAGACTGATCATGTCTTTGTCAGTGGGCAAACGTACAAAATCAGCAGGGGATCAAATACTTTTTTCCCTCACTGTATATATATATATATGAACGACCAGCTGACTGAAGACTGAACGGCCAGCCATTCGTGCGGTTGAGTCAGTTTCTGCTGTTACATGGACACTACAACGTGATGAAACGTTGTTGCTCCTTGCTGAAACATGCAAGGTGTTGTAGTAAACAAGTGTTTCGGTTGCCTAGGCAACACCCCGCTCCCTGCAGAAGCAGCACATGCAGTCAGGAGCAGAGGAGAGGACTGACCAGGTGAATCCAGGTGAAAGCTATGATCCCTTATTGATGGCAGCAGTTAAATCCACTTCAAATCAGTGTAGATGAAGGGTAGGAGACAGGTTAAATCATTTTAAAGCCTTGAGACATTTGAGACATGGATTGTGTATGTGTGCCATTCAGAGGGTGAATGGGCAAGACAAAAGATTTAAGTGCCTTTGAACGGGGTAGTAGGTGCCAGGTGCACCGGTTTGAGTATGTCAAGAACTGCAACGCTGCTGGGTTTTTCATGCTCAACCTTTTCAAGAATGGTCCACCACCCAAAGGACATCCAGCCAACTTCACACAACTGTGGGAAGCATTGGAGTCAACATGGGCTAGCATCCCTGTGGAACACTTGACACCTTGTAGAGTCCAGGCTGTTCGGAGGGCAAAAGGGGGTGCAACTCAATATTAGGAAGGGGTTGTACATGTATTATAATTGTTTTGCTATTCAAACGGTTATAATGGTGAGCACGGTCATTTGGCTGACTAATAGTAGTTACATTGTAGCTACATGGTAGGTAAGGTCAGGGCTATAAAGTGTTGGTCTCATATGCTCCTAAATGCATTCACAGGGTTACATATTAGTTTCAAGGACACAACATGTGCTTCAGAAGTAGCTAGAAAACATATAGGCCCAATATACAGTATCTCAATCAATAAAAAAAATATTTTCAGTGCTACCAATAATTCGTTTTAATTTAGAGCCCTGGGTTCGGTGTGTAAAGTGCCATGGAAACGTATTTTCCCCCTTTCTGATGTTCAATATTTTTGCATATTTTTGTACTGCATCTACATTAGTGACACTGTCTCACCTCGTCCCTTTTCTTGGAGCCCAGGAAGTGCCGTGCTACGTGCTCTGGCAGCATGTTAGTGACCAGCGCCTCATTCCAGCGCCTCATCTCATACACCTTCTCCTTCTGCTCATGGACCTCAATCTTCCACAAGAACAGAGTTCGGGCTAGCTTCTCCACCTACAGTCGGGGACAGGGTGTCAGGAGACAGGAAAGAGGTTCAAATAGAGGTGGAGAGGTTAACAAGGATGGAGGAGAAGCAGAGAAGGCTGATGTGGAAAATAGAGAAGGTGGTGATGACTTAGTGAGGTTGGAAGGTAGATAACTAGTAGACTTCTGCCACAGTAACTTACATGTCGAGAAAAGTAGTAGAAGCTGATCATCATGATGAAGATCATCACGGTCATGGCATATTTAGAGGGAACCAGGTAAGACCTAAAAATAGAGCACAGAGATAATCAGAAATCACAGGCATGCGCACATTGTTAACAGAACAACAATATCACACTAAACAAGACAATCAGAGTTGGGGTCAATTTCATTTCAATTCAGTCAACTGAAATTCCAATTTCAGTTTTACTAATTGAAAATAAATTATGACCACACATCCATAAACTGATGACCACCACCTATAACACCACAACAGCCTATAACACCACAACCACATCTACCTGTAGTCCTGGAAGCGGGCCATATCGTAGCGGTCAAATATGTCCCTCCAGCTGTAGATGTTGACGATGCCCGTTGCTATGGTGATGAGGAGCATGAGTGTGACCTTGACCATGTGGCTGACCTGCACCAGCATGGTGGTCGCCATGAGTGCCAGCACGGCGATGTAGCTGTAGTACTTGGGGTTTTCCAGACAGCCCTCGGCCCCGGATTGGACAACAGAGGAGGGAGGGGCCATTGTGGCATTTCCCGAGGGACGGGGACAGCTTAGCTACAGGGCATGGACAGAGAGGGGATAGAGGCCAAATGTCAACGCAAGATCCGAGCCACCACTCAATCGATTTCTAGTGCTTCCTCCAAACTTACCTGGACCCCTTTTTAAAATCCTTGGTTCACTCCCATCTTGTTGCTTTATTATGAATTTAAAACATTCAACTGCAATGTGTGCTGTTGCATTTGGACAGTGTGCATGCATGTCAATACCAAAAACAGACCCTTAAGTCAAACCCAGGTTTATGGGAAGTCTTGTGTGTTCAACACCAGAAAGCCACTGTTCTTATTGTTGTGATTGATTCTACTGGACTAACGATGAGCGTTTCTCACCATGTCCACAATGTCAGCCATGGTGAGGATGAAGATTGCTGCCATGGCCCATGTGTTCCGTGCCCAGCGGGTGTGGTCGATCCATGTGGAGAAAGACACCAGCCTCTTAGGGAAAACCTAGGAAGAAAAATAACATGTTGGTCATCAACAGTAATATCATTAACCAGTCACCTGAACTACCAGCAATATCTTTATCATCATCATCAACATCTTCACCACCATTGTTGTATTGATGTGGTTTTGAGTAATGTTTTACAACAATCTTTTACGACACCTGTGGTATATGTGGGGCAATGGTGGAACAACATTAAAAACTTGTTAACTCTGATTGATGGTGAGGGTCGTCCTTGCTAGCTGTAACCAACAAAGTAATACAATTGTAATCATCGTAATCATGTTCAGTTTTCAAATGCATCATCAGATGGAAACCATAGTAGGTCAGGGTATTTGTCGTAGTGAGTTTGTATAGATGAAGGATATTAATATGCGCCAGTTTGCTACAGCATGAAAATAATCCTGCAGCAACAGGAAATGTGAATTATTATGTGGATTATAATTAGTGGCCATTTTTGTAGGGGTTGATACATTTCTCATAAGGGAAAATCAAGTCTGAAATTTCAAAGTGGAAATTACAAACTTCAGAAGCCTTTCTGAATCTTAAATACACCAGAAGTTTTACATTTCCTGGTGATCAAATTAAGATTTTCCATACATAAAGAATAGTTACTGGATTGGAACTACTGTCACGCGAGGGGACTCAGATCTCCAATGGTTAAATCTGATCTCATTGGGTATAGTACATTCTCTCAGCAGCTGAACAATAATCTGGTCCATACAGCTTCAAGTAAAAGCATTTCATTATGTAGCACTAAAAGCTCTTGCTTATAGGCTCTGGGTTGAAGTGTATGTGTGAGTGTGTGTGGTTTCTGGTGTTTGTGTGGTTGACATTGTACTGTGACAGGCACAGACAAATATCGACATGGACATGCATTTCGCCCTTGATACAGTAGTTGTTTCGTAACAGTGAATCAGTTAATCTGTTTGTTTATGTGTGTGTGCGCACGCACACACAGTGCACAGATACAGTACATGGGGTTCAAAACCCTTGTGGGCAATGTGGGGATGGGGGAGGAGTGTTGCTGTTAGGGTGACAGTAGCAGTCGATAGTGGTAGCTACATAACTGTCTGTAGCAGTCAATAAATTTGACTTTCCATGACCTGGCTCATGAGGTTAGATCAAAAGTGTTGATGCGTGACAAAAGAACGAACGTATGGGGTGCTGATTAGACACATTTTCTACCTCATTCAGCTTACGTAACATTGGGAGTGTACTGTATGTACACATCAAATGCACAGCATCATGAGATGCTTACCACATCTAAGTTACTTAACTACGGTATGCTGATCCACTATCACAACTACGTTATTTTTCCTCAAGAGTACGCCACAACAAATATCTTAATATCTACGGATTTCTTATGTTGTGGAAAATGTTCTATGATAAATTATGATTTGGCTGTGGGTTAACTGTTGCTCGCGCTGAAAGGATAGCTGCTCTCTGGTTGGATGTTGAGCGAGGTGTGATAGTGGAGCGGGGGGAAGGGGCACTCACTCGAGGGAAGATGGCCGCCAGAGAGCAGACGGTGAGGACGAGCAGCAGGACCTCTCCCACAGCTAGGGTCACGTAATTTGCTATCATCCTGTCAACCGCAAGAACACACAGAACATAAGGAACACGAGACTGAGAGAGAGAGAGAGAGAGAGCGAGAGTTTAGGTAAACTCACCGTGGGTCTATCAGGACCTCCATGGCTGCAGTGAACAGGAGCACTACACAGGAGCAGCTGAAGGCAGCCCCGCTCTGCTTCTCCTTTTCTACAGAGTAGCGGGTCTCCAGCTCAGGGTCCACAAAGCGCAGGGACAGACAGTTGGTGCGTTTCCCCTTCAGACTGACAGGGCAGATGGAGACAGGGTAGAGGGAGGGATCACACGGTCTGTCTGCTCACATAACAGAGGATTCATACCTGGCTGCACATGGCTCACTCACACACCCTCTGCTACTGAGGTGTTTCTCTATGACTATCACACACACACATACATACAGTTGAAGTCGGAAGTTTACATACACTTAGGTTGGAGTGATTAAAACTCGTTTTTCAACCACTCCACAAATTTCTTGTTAGCAAACTATAGTTTTGGCAAGTCGGTTAGGACATCTACTTTGTGCATGACACAAGCAATTTTTCCAACAATTGTTTACAAACAGATTATTTCACTTATAATTCAATGTATCACAATTCCAGTGGGTCAGAAGTTTACATACACTAAGTTGACTGTGCCTTTAAACAGCTTGGAAAATTCCAGAAAATGATGTCATGGCTTTAGAAGCTTCTAATAGGCTAATTGACATCATTTGAGTCAATTGGAGGTGTACCTGTGGATGTATTTCAAGGCCTACCTTCAAACTCTGTGCCTCTTTGCTTGACAACATGGGAAAATCAAAAGAAATCAGCCAAGACCTCAGAAAAAGAAAAGTTGTAGACAAGTCTGTTTCATCCTTGGGAGCAATTTCCAAATGCCTGAAGGTACCACGTTCATCTGTACAAACAATAGTACACAAGTATAAACACCATGGGACCACGCAGCCGTCATACCGCTCAGGAAGGAGACGTGTTCTGTCTCCTAGAGATGAACGTACTTTGGTGCGAAAAGTGCAAATCAATCCCAGAACAACAGCAAAGGACCTTGTGAAGATGCTGGAGGAAACAGGTACACAAGTATCTATATCCACAGTAAGACGAGTCCTATATCGACATAACCGGAAAGGCCGCTCAGCAAAGAAGAAGCCACATGGGGACAAAGATCTTACTTTTTGGAGAAATGTCCTCTGGTCTGATGAAACAAAAATAGAACTGTTTGGCCATAATGACCATAGTTTGGAGGAAAAAGGGGGGACGCTTGCAAGCCGAAGAACACCATCCCAACCGTGAAGCAAGGGGGTGGCAGTATCATGCTGCAGGAGGGACTGGTGCACTTCACAAAATAGATGGCATCATGAGGAAGGAAAATGATGTGGATATATTGAAGCAACATCTCAAGACATCAGTCAGGAAGTTAAAGCTTGGTCGCAAATGGGTCTTCCAAATGGACAATGACCCCAAGCATACTTCCAAAGTTGTGGCAAAATGGCTTAAGGACAACAAAGTCAAGGTATTGGAGTGGCCATCACAAAGCCCTGACCTCAATCCTATAGAAAATGTGTGGGCAGAACTGAAAAGGCGTGCGCAAGCAAGGAGGCCTACAAACCTGATTCAGTTACACCAGCTCTGTCAGGAGGAATGGGCCAAAATTCACCCAACTTATTGTGGGAAGCTTGTGGAAGGCTACCCGAAACGTTTGACCCAAGTTAAACAATTTAAAGGCAATGCTACCAAATACTAATTGAGTGTATGTAAACTTCTGACCCACTGGGAATGTGATGAAAGAAATAAAAGCTTAAATAAATCATTCTCTCTACAATTATTCTGACATTTCACATTCTTAAAATAAAGTGGTGAACCTAACTGACCTAAAGACTAAAGGATTAAATGTCAGGAATTGTGAAAAACTTAGTTTAAATGTATTTGGCTAAGGTGTATGTAAACTTCCGACTTCAACTGTAGATACACACAGGCTGGCAAAATTCAGGGAAGTTTTAATAAATAAATTCCCTGGTTTCCCCAAAATTCCCAGTTGGAGGTTTCCCCGAATTAGGAGGCAATAAGCATGAAATCCGGAATCCTCCAACCAGGATTTCAGGATAACCAGGGAATTTATTTAAAGTACCTGGAATTTTGCAACCCCACACACACCCTCACTCTCACTCTTTCTCTACTCACGCTTGTACGGTTTCTCTCTCCAGCAGTGCCTCATTGAGCAGTTTGTTGAGCTCCTGTTCGTTCTCTTGGGCATCAATCACCCTCTCAGCCAGGTCCCGCAGTCTTAGCCTCCGCCGAGGGTTGGGGAACGAAGGGTTCACCACCTGGTGTCACAAGAAGGTGGCATTCCTGGTCTGTCATTACACCACACACTGGATGCACCCCGATTCTCCACACTTCTTCTAAAGTGTGCACTTGCACACTCTCTCTCATGGATGTAACAATGGTCGAAACTCTCTCCAGCCAATGCTTACAACAATTCAATGCTTTTAGATCTATGATGGGGAGTGTGCAAGTGCACACTTAATGAGAAGGGGGGAGAATCTGGACGTAGCCACTCTTCATTCAGGTTTGAAGTGGAGAAGGTAGCACCCGTTGGAGCAACTCCTGTCTTGGAGACAGCAAAAGTATTTGGAGGTTTTTGTACTAGCCCAGCGCTAACACCCCTGAATAAACAAATCGAGGTCTAAATATAAGACAATGATTAGTTAATCTTTTGAATAGGTGTGCTAATCACTTCTAGGACAGAGTTGCAATCCTGTGTGTTAGGGGTTACAGTAAAGGTCATACGTTACCCGTGTGTCCAGCTCCTCTGGCTCGTCTGGTGTGGTGCAGGCTGTGTGGACACTCCCATTACACTCAGTGGTGTTGATCAACAATGGAGAGTTCCCATTGGACGACATCACAGACAACTTCTGATAGGAAATGAAGAGACAGGAAGGAGGAGAGAAGAGAGAATGTGAGGTGTGTTACAGTTACTGTGGTGTGTTGACCGGAGGGATCTGGAGGAAAAAATATTGACATTTTTATAACGCTTTCTTTTACAGCCTGTTGTAAGCTGTTACTTACCTGGTATTTTCACAGTATTAACTAGGAAACTATGCTGGTAATTACCTCAAAATGTAACAAAAGTGGTGACTGGTACCAAAGTTTGTTAAAGACAAAAGTTATTTCTTAGTAACTTCTACCTGGTTGTAGAATAAAGGTTTACCGAGGTTTTATCTCAGTGAGACGAACCTGTAAGAATAAAGGTTGAATAAAACTAGGTATTGAGGCAATACTCACCACCCCGTTGATGCCGTTCTTTCCCAGGGGGCCCTTGGGCACCACCACCAGGTAGGAGTCGATGCCCCTCTCCTTCAGGTACTCACAGCGGTCGCCTCCGTTCCCCGGTTCCATATCAAACTCCCCGTGCAGACACTCCATGGTGGCCTGGGAGATGTGCACACGCCTGCCGCAAAGGTCAGGTGTTATAGATTTGAGGTCAGAGAGCCTGGCCTATCAATGGCAGGCTGGGTGGGAGCTGACCCTATAACCTCCCTATTGCAAACTTTAAATGATTCCTGCTGTCACCCTCTTTTTGATATACAGAACATCAACATTTCCTTACCTACTTCATAATTCATGACTTATTGCTAGCAATAATTAATTTTGTATAGGTATATAGGGTTTGTATTGGGCACAAAAATATATGACAAATATGAGTTCATGAGGCAGGTCAATCTTGCCTGTGCATCATCTAAGGTTGTAGTAAAGATCTATAAACAGGGTTAGGGAAAATGTAATAACTTAAAACTAGTGGGGGAAAAAAGTATTTAGTCAGCCAATTGTGCAAGTTCTCCCACTTAAAAAGATGAGAGAGGCCTGTAATTTTCATCATAGGTACACGTCAACTATGACAGACAAAATGAGGAAAAAAAATCCAGAAAATCACATTGTAGGATTTTTAATGAATTTATTTGCAAATTATGGTGGAAAATAAGTATTTGGTCAATAACAAAAGTTTCTCAATACTTTGTTATATACCCTTTGTTGGCAATGACACAGGTCAAACATTTTCTGTAAGTCTTCACAAGGTTTTCACACACTGTTGCTGGTATTTTGGCCCATTCCTCCAAGCAGATCTCCTCTAGAGCAGTGATGTTTTGGGGCTGTCGCTGGGCAACACGGACTTTCAACTCCCTCCAAAGATTTTCTATGGGGTTGAGATCTGGAGACTGGCTAGGCCACTCCAGGACCTTGAAATGCTTCTTACGAAGCCACTCCTTCATTGCCCGGCGGTGTGTTTGGGATCATTGTCATGCTGAAAGACCCAGCCACGTTTCATCTTCAATGCCCTTGCTGATGGAAGGAGGTTTTCACTCAAAATCTCACGATACATGGCCCCATTCATTCTTTCCTTTACACGGATCAGTCGTCCTGGTCCCTTTGCAGAAAAACAGCCCCAAAGCATGATGTTTCCACCCCCATGCTTCACAGTAGGTATGGTGTTCTTTGGATGCTACTCAGCATTCTTTGTCCTCCAAACACGACGAGTTGAGTTTTTACCAAAAGGTTCTATTTTGGTTTCATCTGACCATATGACATTCTCCCAATCCTCTTCTGGATCATCCAAATGCACTCTAGCAAACTTCAGACGGGCCTGGACATGTACTGGCTTAAGCAGGGGGACACGTCTGGCACTGCAGGATTTGAGTCCCTGGCGGCGTAGTGTGTTACTGATGGTAGGCTTTGTTACTTTGGTCCCAGCTCTCTGCAGGTCATTCACTAGGTCCGCCCGTGTGGTTCTGGGATTTTTGCTCACCGTTCTTGTGATCATTTTGACCCCACAGGGTGAGATCTTGCGTGGAGCCCCAGATCGAGGGAGATTATCAGTGGTCTTGTATGTCTTCCATTTCCTAATAATTGCTCCCACAGTTGATTTCTTCAAACCAAGCTGCTTACCTATTGCAGATTCAGTCTTCCCAGCCTGGTGCAGGTCTACAATTTTGTTTCTGGTGTCCTTTGACAGCTCTTTGGTCTTGGCCATAGTGGAGTTTGGAGTGTGACTGTTTGAGGTTGTGGACAGGTGTCTTTTATACTGATAACAAGTTCAAACAGGTGCCATTAATACAGGTAACGAGTGGAGGACAGAGGAGCCTCTTAAAGAAGAAGTTACAGGTCTGTGAGAGCCAGAAATCTTGCTTGTTTGTAGGTGACCAAATACTTATTTTCCACCATAATTTGCAAATAAATTCATAAAAAATCCTACAATGTGATTTTCTGGATTTTTTTTCTCAATTTGTCTGTCATAGTTGACGTGTACCTATGATGAAAATTACAGGCCTCTCTCATATTTTTAAGTGGGAGAACTTGCACAATTGGTGGCTGACTAAATACTTTTTTTCCCCACTGTAATAACTTAGACAGAGGGGTTTAAACCAGTTCCTTCTTACCCTGGTATTCCTCCCGCCTCCATCTTATTGGCCACGGTGACGTCAGTGGACCAGACGTCATACTGCCACCGCTTCTGTCCCAGGACGCCCCCCAGGACAGTGCCAGTGTGCACCCCCACACGCATGTCCACATCTGTCCCGGTCTTCTCACGAACATACCTACAGGACAACACAGTCACCGTGACACAGAGCCAAGAAGAACCACCCTAGCCAGTGTTTCCCCTACCATTCGATTTGCCTCCAGCACACCACATTATTCCTACTCTGTGCAAATCTCAAATGACACCCTATACACCACAAGTACAGAAAGACCTCAGATGTGAACACGTCTGAAAAGGAGGTCATTCGGAATACTGAAAGGTTTGGACTTAAAAGCGCATCAAACCTTGGTAAAAAATATTAATTGCGTACAGTTTCTTCAGTCCACATTTCCATTGGGTGCTACTCACGAAATGGCCTCCACCATGGCCAGGCCCATCATGATGGAGCAGGCAGCGTGGTCCTCTCTGTAGTCTGGCAGGCCACAGATACAGTAGTAACAGTCGCCCAGGATCTTTATTCTCAACTGGTGGTATTTCTACACAGAAACAGAAACACACACACAGTGAGGTAGGGGCTGGAACATTCAAATAAGTGATTTAATCTGTATGTGAAATGATGTGACTACTCATGTAAATGAACTTTAATCTATAAATAAATCTATGTTTAAAAGATGAGTATGAATACATGTCAACCAACATACATTTTCAGTCAGTAAGTAATATATTTATGTCTGTGTGTGTGAATGACTCACGGCAGCCAGCTTGTCAAAGCGGGCAAACAGTTCATTGAGGAGCTTGACCAGCTCATGGGCACTGCATGATGATGACAGCTGAGTGAATCCCACAATGTCTGCAAACAAAATACTGCCGGAGAGAGGGGATACATGCTGTCATCACATCATCCTATTGGATATCCTGCCTCTTTGTTATATAACATAGTATACTCTATAAGTTATGTTCTCCTAGCCATAGGTCTATAGACTGTATATATAGTCTGGCTACTGAGTCTTACCTGACATTTTCGTGGCGATACATGTACATGGTGTTGAACTGCTGCATCTCCTTCTGTCCAGTCTGACTTGCTTCTTTCTTCTTCATGTCCTGTAACATCTCATCTGCTATGTGCTTGGGCAGGATGGACAGCAAGAGACGCTCCTGCGGAGGACAGGGAGAGTGGTGAGGTTTCAGTGGATATGAGAAGACTCTAAAGAGCCTCAATAGAAGCACGCACAGCTTACAATAAAGACACTTAATTGTGTGTGATTGGCAGCAGAATCAAATCAATGACTCAATCAGAATCAATAAATATTCAATGACCTAATCAAACCACTTTCTATAGCAAAGGAAACTGTCCATTGCCATCCCAAAGCATCCACTTCCAAATTGTATCTACTTCTATCACCTTTCAACCAATAGATCTTGGAAAAATAAATACCATAATGAAATAAACATGGATGACTGACTAACATGTGCTCAAACAGCACATTTGGAAAGTATTCAGACCCCTAGACTTTTTCCACATTTCGTTACGTTACAGCCTTATTCTAAAATAGATTACATTCTTTTTTCCCCCCCTCATCAATGTACACACAATACCCCATAATGACAAAGTGAAAACAGGTTTTTAGACATTTTTGCAAATGTATTAAAAAACAGAAATACCTTATTTACATAGGTATTCAGACCCTTTGCTATTAGACTCGAAATTGAGCTCAGGTGAATCCTGTTTCCATTGATCATCCTTGAGATGTTTCTACAACTTGACCTGTGGTAAATTCAATTGATTGGGCATGATTTGGAAAGGCACAAACCTGTCTATTTATGGTCCCACAGTTGACAGTGCATGTCAGAGTAAAAACCAAGCCATGAGGTCGAAGGAATTGTCCGTAGAGCTCCGAGACAGGATTGTCTCGAAGCACAGACCTGGGGAAGGGTACCAAAAAGTGTCTGCAGCATTGAAGGTCCCCAAGAACACAGTGGCCTACATCATTCCTAAATGGAAGAAGTTTGGAACCACCAAGACTCTTCCTAGAGCTGGCCGCCCGGCCAAACTGAACAATCAGGGGAGAAGGGCCTTGGTCAGGGAGGTGACCAAGAACCCGATGGTCACTCTGACAGAGCTCCAGAGTTCCTCTGTGGAGATGGGAGAACCTTCCAGAAGGACAACCATCTCTGCAGCACTCCACCAATCAGGCCTTTATGGTAGAGTGGCCAGACAGAAGCCACTCCGCAGTTAAAGGCACATGACAGGCCGCTTGGAGTTTGCCAATAGGCACCTAAAGGACTTTCAGACAATGAGAAACAAGATTCTCTGGTCTGATGAAACCAAGATTGAACTCTTTGGCCTGAATGCCAATCGTCGCGTCTGGAGGAAACCTGGCACCATCCCTACAGTGAAGCATGGTGGTGGCAGCATCATGCTGTGGGGATGTTTAACAGCGGCAGGGACCGGGAGACTAGTCAGGATCAAGGGAAAGATGAACGGAGCAAAGCACAGAGAGATCCTTGATGAAAACCTGCTCCAGAGCACTCAGGACCTCAGACTGGGGGGCGAAGGTTCACCTTCCAACAGGACAACGACCTTAAGCACACAGCCAAGACAACGCAGGAGTGGCTTTGGAACAAGTCTCTGAATGTCCTTGAGTGGCCCTGCCAGAGCACGGACTTGAACCTGATCGAACATCTCTGGAGAGACCTGAAAATAGCTGTGCAGCGACGCTCCCCATCCAACCTGACAGAGCTTGAGAGGATCTGCAGAGAAGAATGGTAGAAACTCCCCAAATACAGGTGTGCCAAGCTTGTAGCGTCATACCTGAGAAGACTTGAGGCTGTAATCGCTGCCAAGTACTGAGTAAAGGGTCTGAATACTTATGTAAATGTGATATTTCCATTTGTATTTTCTATAAATTTGCAAACAAATCTAAAAACCTGTTTTTGATTTGTCATTATGGGGTATTGTGTGTAGATAGATGAGAAAAAAACAACAATTTAATCCATTTTAAAATAAGGCTGTAGCGTAACAAAATGAGGAAAAAGTCAAGGGGTCTGAATACTTTCCAAATGCACTGTACATGTGACAATCACATCCCATGGTATGTATTAGAGATACGAAACCGCAAAATACTAATCCTTGTTGAATTAAGATACATTTGTTTTTTAAAGTTTCCTCCTCAAGGGTTTTTACATGCTCCTACTCTGATTTAGCCACTGTCTCCTTTATTCCTGACCCAGAGTTGGCTCTAGAAAATGTCTCCTCCATATTTATTCCTCAAACAGATAAACAAGCCCCTTTTAAACAATTCAGAGTCAAAGATAGAAAATCAAGGGTTAGATCTTCAGAGCTATCTGAGCTCATTCAGATGAGAAATCAGGCCAAAGCAAGGAAAACGGACTGGCAATCTCTCAGACAATTGCGAAACAGATGTACTATCTCGATTAAGAAAGCTAAAATCAAGCTACTTTTTAAACTCTATCTCCGACTCTGCTGGTGATCAAAAATTTTGGAAAACAGTAAATGCACTGAAACGTACAAATTCCTCTTCTTCCCTGCCTAAGCAAGTCCTGTCTGACTCTGGCATCATAGTTGAGAAGAATGGGATAAGTGATGCTTTTAATCATAATTTTATCTTGGCAGGCTTATTATTTGCGAGAAATGGTGGTTTAATTGACCCTGGTCAGTCAATCAACTACTCTTCCTCTGCCAGCCTCTAGCTGACTTGATGGCTAACCCATCAACTTCTAGTGAATCTTTGTTTTCATTTCAACAATTTACTATCTGTGATGTGCCCAGATGCCTTGCTTAAGACTGGTTTTTAAAAAAAATCCACTGGGGCTGATATTCTTGATCCATTTTTGCTGCAGCTCTCTGCCCCCGATTACTGAATCATTAACACATATTTTTAACCTGACAATTATATCTGGTACTATCCCCAAGGTTTGGAAGGCGGCCCGTGTACTCCCCCTTCACAAAGGTGGTGACCCTTGTGACCTAAATAATTGATCAACCTATTTCTAAACTTTCTTGCCTAGCTAAAATATTAGAATCCTTGATTAATTCTCAGCTAAGATCTTTCTTATTTTTGAAATGTATTCTAAATGTACATCAGTTGGGTTTTAGACCAGGTCATAGCCCTATCTCTGCAACATCCCTTGTTATAAATTATGTGGTTAACTGTATGGATAAAAGGCAACATTGACCTGTCAAAGGCTTTCGATACTGTTGATCACTCATTGCTAATTCAGAGGCTTTCCTCAATTGACCTAGACCAGATTGCATGTAACTGGTTTAAAAAATACTTGACAGAAAAAACTCAATGTGTATCTACTGATGGTGTTAAATAAGGTTTCCTGGATATTACTAAAGGTGTCCTACTGGGGTCGATTCTGGTCCTGTACTTTTTACATTAACAATACCGACAAAAAAAAAATGTACCTGCATTTGTATGTCGATGATACTGTTGTGTGCTATTGTCCCCACAGTTGACCAGGCTCGATTTGAACTACAGTCTGCCTTCATTGTATTACGGAAAAACCTTGACCTGGAATTAGTACAGAGTGCAGGTAAAACTAAGTATATGTTGTTCTCTAGAGCACATAAAAATAACTCTGATGATTTAAGCGTGTAATTTGGATGGTGTCCATATTGATTGTGACCCTGCTTACAAATATCTGGTTATCTGGATAGATTTAAAGCTGTCTTGATAGCATATTGATGAGTTAAGAAGCTAAGAATAAAAGTTGGCTTCTTCAATAGAAATAGGTCCTGCCTCTCACTAAATAGTAGAAAGCAGATTATTCAGTCAACGTTCCTATCGGTCCTAGACTATGGCGACATCATTTACAGTGGGAAAAAAAGTATTTAGTCAGCCACCAATTGTGCAAGTTCTCCCACTTAAAAAGATGAGAGAGGCCTGTAATTTTCATCATAGGTACACGTCAACTATGACAGACAAATTGAGAAAAAAAATCCAGAAAATCACATTGTAGGATTCTTAATGAATTTATTTGCAAATTATGGTGGAAAATAAGTATTTGGTCACCTGCAAACAAGCAAGATTTCTGGCTCTCACAGACCTGTAACTTCTTCTTTAAGAGGCTCCTCTGTCCTCCACTCGTTACCTGTATTAATGGCACCTGTTTGAACTTGTTATCAGTATAAAAGACACCTGTCCACAACCTCAAACAGTCACACTCCAAACTCCACTATGGCCAAGACCAAAGAGCTGTCAAAGGACACCAGAAACAAAATTGTAGACCTGCACCAGGCTGGGAAGACTGAATCTGCAATAGGTAAGCAGCTTGGTTTGAAGAAATCAACTGTGGGAGCAATTATTAGGAAATGGAAGACATACAAGACCACTGATAATCTCCCTCGATCTGGGGCTCCACGCAAGATCTCACCCCGTGGGGTCAAAATGATCACAAGAACGGTGAGCAAAAATCCCAGAACCACACGCGGGGACCTAGTGAATGACCTGCAGAGAGCTGGGACCAAAGTAACAAAGCCTACCATCAGTAACACACTACGCCGCCAGGGACTCAAATCCTGCAGTGCAGACGTGTCCCCCTGCTTAAGCCAGTACATGTCCAGGCCCGTCTGAAGTTTGCTAGAGTGCATTTGGATGATCCAGAAGAGGATTGGGAGAATGTCATATGGTCAGATGAAACCAAAATAGAACTTTTTGGTAAAAACTCAACTCGTCGTGTTTGGAGGACAAAGAATGCTGAGTAGCATCCAAAGAACACCATACCTACTGTGAAGCATGGGGGTGGAAACATCATGCTTTGGGGCTGTTTTTCTGCAAAGGGACCAGGACGACTGATCCGTGTAAAGAAAAGAATGAATGGGGCCATGTATCGTGAGATTTTGAGTGAAAACCTCCTTCATCAGCAAGGGCATTGAAGATGAAACGTGGCTGGGTCTTTCAGCATGACAATGATCCCAAACACACCGCCCGGGCAACGAAGGAGTGGCTTCGTAAGAAGCATTTCAAGGTCCTGGAGTGGCCTAGCCAGTCTCCAGATCTCAACCCCATAGAAAATCTTTGGAGGGAGTTGAAAGTCCGTGTTGCCCAGCGACAGCCCCAAAACATCACTGCTCTAGAGGAGATCTGCATGGAGGAATGGGCCAAAATACCAGCAACAGTGTGTGAATACCTTGTGAAGACTTACAGAAAATGTTTGACCTGTGTCATTGCCAATAAAGGGTATATAACAAAGTATTGAGAAACTTTTGTTATTGACCAAAAACGTATTTTCCACCATAATTTGCAAATAAATTCATAAAAAATCCTACAATGTGATTTTCTGGATTTCTTTTTCTCATTTTGTCTGTCATAATTGACGTGTACCTATGATGAAAATTACAGGCCTCTCATCTTTTTAAGTGGGAGAACTTGCACAATTGGTGGCTGACTAAATACTTTTCCCCCCCACTGTATATTAAGTCAGCTGCCACTTCATTAAAGCTGTTAGATGCAGTTTATCATAGCACACTGTGCTTTATTACGGGCGACAATTTTTGTACTCATTATTGCATTTTTTTTTTTCATTTATTTGGATCCCCATTAGCAACAGGTAGTCTTACTGTGGTCCGACAGAAAGTTGGTTGGACCTCTTTGATGTCATGTAGGTTGATACATTGCTATGTTTTTATTTAGAAAGCCCTTTTACAACAAGTCCCACTGTACCTAACTTCTTTACTAAACTTTAGACATATGAGTTACCACACCCGGTCTCAGGGATGGCTAACTCTGGAAATTCCTTTGGTTGCTACTGAGTTAGGTAAATCAGCTTTTAGTTTCCTTGCACCTTATTTGTAGAACAATCTTCAAAATGTTCTTAAATTTGATATTTTGGTGCCTCTAGGGAAATTCAGAAAGCTGATTGAGAACCATATTACTGATGAATGTGTTTGTTTTTTCTGACCGTGTTTTTCTTTCTGTAATTTATGTAATTCAGGGCTCATCTGTAAAAGAGTCATTGGTCTCAGTATGACTCCCTGATAAAATAAAGGTTAAATAAAAAATAAAATCATCCAACGTACAAACATGATATATAATCACATATTACACAGTTCATAGACATGGTATAATGGTCAGCCAAAATATCGGCCTATAACTTTTCTCCCTGTTAAAAGCACTGTCCCTATTCACAAGTCTGATTGGCCTAAAACTATCACTCATCGCTACGTAAGGCTATCTGAACAGATTCCACCCTTGATGACCCAAGACCAGAAACATAAACATCGGAAAACACAAACACATCAGGCAAACAAAAGCCTTGAGTACACACACACACGTGGAGGGAGGAAAACAAATAACGTGGCAGGGTTTTCTACGTTCTTATCAAAACCTGAAGGAGAGAGATAAAAAAAAAATGGGCAAGCGAGTCAGCAGAGTGATTACTGCGGACATCGTCTCAGGAGGCTGGTCGCCATGGTAACCTGCAGCGACCGGATGCTCCTTGATTGGCTGGCGGCCCTTGTCTCCCAGCAGCCCATGCTTCTCCATTAGTATTCTGGGAGTTTCTCCTCTCATGGTCTTATCAGCCCTTCTCTCTCTCTTTCTCTCTCTCTTTTCCTCGCTCTCACACACACACACACACACACACACACCTTTGCTCCCTCCTTCCCTTCCTCCATAATCACCCCTTTCCTCTAAGCCCTCTCCCTCTTTCTCAGCTCTCTATAGCAGTAACCGTCTGTTCCATAAATAGTAGCAATCAAGAATGCCCAATGGCCACAGCTGTGAGACAGGGGGAGGAAGGGGAAATGACTGCTGACACAGTCCTAACTCAAACAGACATACAAAATATGCACAAGCACACACACACACACGCACGCACGCACACACACACTTAACTAGCTTAGTGTAAGTGTACAGTAACAGTAGATCAAATGGAGCTGTAGATACTGAGAATTGTGTTTAAATTCCCTTGGGCTTTAACATAAACAAAACAGGTCTGAATCACAATCACATACACTACCGTTCAAACGTTTTGGGTCACTTAGGCCAGTTTTATTGCTTCTTTAATCAGCACAACAGTTTTCAGCTGTGCTAACATAATTGCAAAAAGGTTTTCTAATGATCAATTAGCCTTTTAAAATGATAAACTTGGATTAGCAAACACAACGTGCCATTGGAACACAGGACTGATGGTTGCTGATAATGGGCCTCTGTACGCCTATGTAGATATTCCATTAAAAATCAGCCGTTTCCAGCTTCAACAGCCATTTATAACATTAACAATGTCTACACTGTATTTCTGATCAATTTGATGTTATTTTAATGGCCAAAAAAAAATAATGTTCTTTCGAAAACAAGGAGATTTCTAAGTGACCCCAAACTTTTGAACGGTAGTGTACATTCAAACCAGGGCACTACTCTGGCACTGCAACCCACTCTCTAACCTATCACCCTCTGTCACTTTTCTCTCTCTGCACATGTTGTCTCCTGCCCTATATTGTGTATTCCCCTCTGTCCTCCCGCCATATGTTTTTACCAACACCCCCCCCCCCTCCCTCTCCAGTCTGTCAGTCCCACCTGTTGCTGGCTCTGTTCCTCCAGATTGAGTTTGACCTCCAGGGACTGCCGTGCTTCCAGGAAGGCCTTGCGGTGTTTCCGGTCTGCCATGTAGTAGGACATGACGCCCACAGTGATGGCACACACATAGATCACTATGTTGGCCAGCAGCTGGAGAACACCACAGAGTCATTAGACACACACACAAAAATTTACACAACAACTGCACTATAACAAACACACAAACAGGCACGCACAGTAAGCCTTTCACTGTTAGTCTACGCCTGTTGTTTACGAAGCATGTGACAAATACACATTTGATTTGACACACCGATGCACGCACACCACACACTTTGAAACCTGTGGTGAGGACCCTTGTGTAGACTTATCATGACCTAGGCTAGTGGGATCTTACTGACTTTCTGCAGCCATGAATGTGGCAGACGGGCAAAAAGAAACCGGCACTCTAAACCATTACCAAACTCTTATAGGTTGCAGTAAGGTGGCTGCTGATTAGTTACATTTTAAACAAAGTTTGGATACTGCACTGTTCCCTAAAATGTTTTGTCATTGAATAACATTTAGATTTGCTCAGATTGATGCTCCGATAGGGTGGCTGGCCTTATAGTGGGCTGCCTGCCTCTCATTGGATTAATGTGACATTATGATAAAGAAGACATGAGCATACTGAGAACCAAAAACTGTGGACCATTTGAGAATAGTATTGATGTCAAACAAGAGAACGGCCTCTAAAATATCAAATATAGACAAATGACGAAACCACAGAGGCTTTTTAGTTGGTAGGAGACACTGAAACCTCAGTCTATTCTCAGCCTCTGCTCTGTCACCTAAACATTTGATACATTCAGCCTGTTTGTGGACTCATCAGTAATGCCTATTCATTGTAGGTACTGTAAGACAATTACAGGACATAATGTGACATAAATAGTACAGACTGTCATTCTAACAATATCTAGCCTCTTATTAAATGTGCTGTATATACCCTAGTAATTGCTCATCATTCCTTGAGTTGCAATTATGGCATGTGGCACTGTTCCTAGTTATTTTCTTTTATGAGCTACTTTACAAGATCTGTTCACCTCTCTATACCTGCCACCCTACCATCTACCTTACTCATCATCCCCCCACCCCACCCCACTCCACCCCCCACACACCTGCCTGTCTCCAACTCCACCTGCAACTTCATCCAACTCCTATGTGTCCACCCACCCCAGCTGTTCCTGAACCACTCTCGCCCGTCTCCCTCTCCACCTGCAACTTCCTTCCCCTCCTGAAAGTGTCCTCAGCCTCAGACCCCCACTCTTACCCGTCTCCCACTCTACCTGCAGCTTCAATCCCCATCCCCCTCACCCACTCTCACTCCCCCCTGCAACTCAACTCCCACCCAAGGTGTGTCCTCATCCCCCCACTCTCACCTGTCTCCCGAGGGCAGCCGCCTGGATGTCCTCCTGCTGCTGCTGAGCGATGGTGACCCCCAGCACCAGGGTGTGGACCCCGCATGACACAGATGTGATCAGCACGATGGGCGTGAGCCGCAGGGGCAGTGTCAGGAAGAAGGAGAAGCTAAAGAAGGCCTGCCAGCCCACCGTGTCGCTGGCCTGGTGGAAGCGGGCATAGTTCAGGCCCAGGTAGCAGAAGATCTGGGCCGCTATGAGCACCCACAGAGCGTAGGGCACCACACGTCGCGAGATGCGGTCGGGTAGGAGGCCGTAACGGCACAACACATAGAGTAGGATGTCTGATGCCAGGCCCACTGATGCCACCACCACAGAGGCCAGCTTTTCGCCTGTGTAGACCACGGCGCACATGACGATGATGTAGCTGTCAAACAGGGCAGCAAACACAACCAGAACCAGCAGGGTTTCGTGTCGCTGCCGCCGGAAATAGGTCTGATAGAGGTTCTCCAGTGACTCGGGTGCAAAGGTGAGGCGCATGAAGCGTGGGAGGCAGAGGCAGCACCCTTGGCTGCGAACCGTTACCTCGTGCGTGCGCCCCACGGCCTGGCCCGGGTCCGACGGTAGGGTCACAGAGCAGTCTGCCGAATACTCTGCCGAGTACTCCGGCTCTGAGAAGGCCCGGTTGCGAGGCATAGTGAATGCTGACTAAGTTTTGTATTTCTTCCTGTGACCTTGTTGTAAAAAATGTGGAAATCTGTTTGTAGTTCTGCAGGAGGTGTAAAATTCCTCAAGGTACTGTTGTAATGTTCAAAAGTAGGCCTACATCGTGCTTGCTCATCAGGTTCCCTTTTATTCTCCTGTGTGTAAACGGAACCCTTTGCCCTAAGGTGTCATGAACGTCCTTTAAATCACAGGTAGTGTCTTGATTGTTAGGCCCTGCACTTTGGAATAGCTTTGCTCACGTTTGCTTTGCCCACAGATCCAATGTTCTCCAAATGTAGGCATAAGGCAAAAGGAGATTTAAAGGGTCTCCTGGACCATGTTAATTTTCCTCAAGTGAGCCCATGGAAAACTCACTAAGAATAAAGTGGAGGCTATAATGTAGCTTTGTTTCTTTTCTAATACAAAACTTTGTTTACGTCGCCACCCTTCTGTCCATATTCATTGTATCAAGGTTGTCACCATTGTTCACATGGGGTTTACCATGGTGAAAACTCAAAGAAGTGAAGAATATGGGATGCTGTTTGATCATGAATTGTGGCCCCTCCACCTGAGATAACACCTGACCAGCAATCCACGTTGGGAAAAAAACGGGCCTACAATTTCAATTTGGCCCCAGGGATTTTTAAGAACATTACTGGGAAATATGGACAGCCTGTGCAAGTTGTGCAAAAGAGGCCTAGATTCGTTTCTTCTTTGCAGTTGACAGACTGATACTGAGAGCAATGTCTGTCGGTCCCTAACAATATTTATCTTGAGAAAACTGCGCCTCTGTCCTCAGTTGATAATATCCCCGGAGCACTATGCAGGACTTCTGAATTTTACAGCGCGCACAGGAAATAGGCTACATGTTGCGCTCTATGAAAAAGAGAAAAAAGATAGAACTTGTAAAATGGATGTCCAAAATGACACCATCGTGACTATCCATTTAAAATACTTAACACAGTCTTTTTTGCTGTATTATTAAGCAACCCAGTTTTCCAGCCTACAGTATAGGGACATCATATTTCCATATTTCTTGCCCTCATTTACACATATTGATGAGTTTGTTGCCTGCGATTTCATGGTTAAATCGTTTGGCTACATTTCTATTTTGAAAAGGTGCTAGAGGACTGCTATTGCCATACCCATTTAAATGATAGAATGACTGAAAATAATAAGCGTCATTATTTACCCATTCTGTATCCATTTAACATGTGGTAATGGCCAAAGATGAACGTGATCTTTCAATTTACGTTTTCATTCTCCAATGACTCGACGTTTTGCATCTCCTGTCTATCCTTTTTAAGATGCCGCCTGTGAACAGAGATTTTGTACCAGTTGCTGTAAAAACCATCCGCATATTGTTGCATCCGCTTACCGAGCAATGGAAAAGCCACTTTCGATATCCTATAGGTGGTGATCGCTCTTGTAAGGATTAGATGTCACTTGTAATCAAAACAGTGCATTTTTGGTGTTTGTTATAATAATAACCTGAACATGTCCCCTCGACGAGTAATAGACTACAATGGATTCGTGATCTTTCTCGGTGACTCTCGCCTTCTGCAGAAAACACCGAACAGCTCTGCTTTTTCTCCCTCGATCTTCACTATCTAGCCCGGATAAGCCCGTCCCCCTCTTTAGATCACCCCCCCCTTGCTTCCCATGTACAAAGTCAGAAATAGAGACAGATAATTCCAAATAGGATAACTCAATGTAAATAGCCTATGGTTATTCATTATGACTGGATGAACATGCTCAAATATGACACTTGATTTCATTTGATTGATTAATTGCCACTATAGTTCGCATGTTGTTTTTCTGCCTTCTGGCCATACCACCAGAATGTATGAATGCACTAATTTACTCTGATCATTATCACATCAAATGATCTACTTCTATATCTCTTTATTTTGTCAATAAATGTTGGAAGCCTGGGCCTACCCCTGGATCCAACAAACACCCTAAAAGAAATATGCATGTCGCTTGAACCAGTCTTTGGGGAGGGAACAATTGTACAGTACTTATCGACAGCTGTTCCCCCATCGGGTTGAATAATCCAAAAAAGAGCAGCAGCCCCACTACACAACATCAGTTTTATTTTGTTCACACACAACGCCCACCCTGTTTCAAATAAAATCAAAAGTCGCTTACACAGTTTAGCTAATCTTATAGGGGGTGCAGTGAAATTCTTGTTACTAACTCCTAACAATGCAGTAAAATGCCAAACAGTGTGTGTGTGGAGCAGGGAATGAGTATAGTCTAGGTGCTCCAGGGCTGTTCATGCACCATATGGCATCATTGCTTATTATTATTTTTGGACTATGAGATGTGTTCAGGTTGTTGTCTCTGGTTATTTGTTTGTGTCCCAGAAACGCTACTGGCTGTGCAGAAACCGCCTGAGACTGGCTTCTTTCGTTGACACCGCCATCAGTCCTGTATTGACTATTCCACTGAAACCCTGTATTGAACTTGTGATCAATACCCAGACCATTGACCTTTTTTACTGGAAACAAACTCATCAACAACATCTCCCTGCCTCTCAGGCCCAAATTGAACAATCATACTCCCCCCTGTATCCATCCCTCTATAGCTTGGGGTGTGTGATACCCGATATCACAGGGTCCTGTGTCCTCTCCCTTGTCACTATGCTCCACCCCCCTTGATCTTTCGTTTGCCTCTTTTTTTTAAAAAGTACATGATGTATCAATTTGGATTTTGTCAAGGAAGCAGAGGTTAGAGGCCACCAGAACCCATGTGAACATATTTTTGAAGCTATGCTAATCATGGAGAATTAACCTACTACTAACCTAGGCTACCAATATGTGCCTAGAGTGATGCAGCCCATCGAGAATACATCAGGCTTGTAGGTAACACTCTGTAACAGTGATTCATTAATTGCTGGATTCCAAGACTGATGTTGCCATGGAGAGACATATTTCCCCAGAGAACAGCCAACAATAATTATTAAATGAGTGCTCTTTACCACCAGCAAAGGCTGAGGTAGGACAGATGACGATGGTGTGCAAAATTAGACACAGATTATGGGAGGCAATGGATTAGGGTACATCCTTTAACAGTTGACATGATTATGTAATGTCATGATTTTATTCGGAGGCATAACAATTGATTGCTTTGCTAAAGCGGATTATACAAGTCCGGTTTTCAGAATGATCTCTTCCAAGTAACAAATGGGCAAGGGAAGGGAGTGCCAAATTAAGCCTGTTTATTGTGTCTAACCATGTCTCTCATCATGTGAGGGTTTTCTCTAGATAAATAAATAAATAGTGTCCTATAACAATATCACAATCATGCTCTCAGTATCACTATGAATGCATTATTGTTTTAGAGAGACCATTTCTTTCATCACCCCTCTCATGTGATTAAGCTAATACACTGTAACTATTTAAATGACCCTGTTGGGCAGAATCAGAATAGAACATCAGATGTGCATTTTGTTTCCCATGGCATTGGCCACAGAGGGCAACGAAGAAACAGATTATTTGCACAAGGACAGTGTTTTTATCAATACATTGTTTGGCCAATATAAGCCTGTGCAAATCTTTTCTGCTGTCCATGATCTACAGAAGGTTTTAGATCTATGTAGAATAGAATACATCTATATAAAACAGTTGTTTGTAAATATGTGTCTGTTGTTTTGCAATGCTATTAAAATGTTTATTGTGTTCAGAAAAAAACAGTGTCACAGAACAATGAGACAATGAGTTCCCTGTAGCTCAGTTGGTAGAGCATGGCGCTTGCAACGCCAGGGTTGTGGGTTCGTTTCCCACGGGGGGCCAGTATGAAAATATAAGCACTCACTGACTGTAAATCGCTCTGGATAAGAGCGTCTGCTAAATGACTAAAATGTAAATGTTTCACCAGATCTATAAATCTGAAGCATCCGGTTGGCATTTCCACTCACCACCAAATATGGTTATGAGGGGAAGCCCAGTGGCTGGCAGTGGGCGAAGATGGATTTTGGCCGACATTCTGCCAATTTTCTCATCGATGAAACATTTGATCTTAATACAGTTTTCTGTTCCCCAAACTAGAATCTGTTACAAACAGAGTGGACCAAGTTTTGTAGACAATACCCTTTACCAAAGTTTAAAATAAATGTATAAAAATGCGTTGTTTAGTGGCGCAATGGAGAATTGAGTTATTGCACAAGCGCACTTCACAGAGTAGGCGTTCCCTAACGGAAATATGCAAATACATGCTAGAACGCACCAATAGGATCTCGCTAGCTCGTGCTTGGCTCTGCCCACCCTGCTTGTTTTGCCCACTGTGATTCATTTTCTCCCGTTGGAAACGACAGGCTGTGGTCTATCTTGGGATAGTTATAAAAAATCTTTGCCAATGTACGTACAGGGGCGTCTTTAATGACGTAATCACTCAAGATTGCACGCTGCTGACGTGTATGTAGGGAAGTAGAAAGCTGGCTACCTAGCTAGCTAACAACTTTAGCGTTATTTTTATTAGATATGTGGAGCCAGTAACAGCTCATAATGGGAATAATAGCCAACTAATTCAAATAATTGGCATTAGAAGAGAAATCGGAGGAGATTACACAGGTAGAGTTTGCTACACATGGGTTTGCAAGACCTCAAATACACTAGCATCCACTACCCAGTGTACTATTCATCCTCAAGTAGCTAATGCTAATGGTTGGCTGGCATGCTAACAGCTTAGATGACGAGCTAGTTAGCTAGATAAACTGTCTTTTTCAGATTTATTGTGCAGTGATAATTGCTAAGATTTGAAGTTATGTAGCTAGATAGCTAACAAGACTTCGCGAGGGGATGTTTAGCGAGCTATCATTAAAAGAACAAAACCTGTTCTAGTTAGTTAGCAAACGATGTAGCAAGCGCATTAGGCTTGCCAGGCAGAAGATACCATCCCTACCGTTACTCTTGTTCACACTGAGGTCGTAACGCAAGCATGGTTACATTAAGCCACCTTGGAGTCTGCGCGAGATATGGGTCGGAAAACGTACCTCATTGCAGGGATGGGATATGCCACTGTACTCCAAATGTTACTTTTATCCACACTACTCCATCGAGAAGATTGAAATACTGCCAGTTTTCCCAGAAAACTGCACCTTTCGTCCTCATGCTAGCTAGCAGTAGCCACCGCAGCCATTTTGGAATAGCAGTGTCAGTGTCAATTAGCTCCTTTGTTGGCTACTGCTAGCTAGCATGAGGACGAAAAGGGCAGTTTCCCAGGAAAACTAGCAGAATTTCAATCTTCTCAATGGAGCAGTGTGGATAAAGGTACAATTTGGAGTGGGTGGCATATCCCATCCCTGCTTTGAGGTATGTTTTCCGACCAATACCTTGCGCCGGCTCCATAGTGTCTTAATGTAACCATGATTGTGTTCCGGCCTCAGTGCAGCTCAGTGTAAACAAGCGTAATGGCAGGGTCAGTATCTTCTGGCAAGCATTAGGATAGCTTTCAGTAGAATTCAAACTGACTTTCTGTCCAGTGAGGCGATAGTGGCTGCTAGATCTGCACCATCGCTAGGATTGATGTGCATTCCCAGTAAAATACTTGTGTCCCCCGTACATAAAGCATCCTCCATTCAGGCTGCAAAGGCATCATTTTCATTTTCAACTAGCTTTAATCGCGAGGCGCCGAAAAAAAACGGGAAAAATATGTGTACTGTTTTAATATACAATTTCCCGCCACCATTTTCGGACAACTTAGGATGTTGCACACCGAGTTCAGCCAAGGGTGTGCAACATCCTAAATTGTCCGACATTTTTATTTAATTTCTGGCTTCCCACGGATTGTTTTGTGCAACCCAATACAATTGAAAGCAACGCTTGTGTATGTAAATACACCCACATTGCTAAAAGCAAGGATCTAGCTACTGTTGTGTAATTATTGTTTTTTGTCTTGTATTTTGAGTTGTTTTCTCATGCATCTGTTTCTATAGAGAAGGAATTTGCCGTGAAGTGGATTGATACCTTCAAGAGCCATGGGCAAACGGAGGATGCCAGACCTGTATAGGGCCCCCTTCCCCCTCTACACAATCAAAGTGGACCCCAAAACAGGATGGGTGATCACTGCAGGAGGGGGAGGCGCTTCCAAGACGGGCGTAAAGAATGCAGTGGTAAGCTACTGAATGTTTAGGTGATCATGTAATGGTTCTGCTCTATGGGCACAATCTCTACATTTCTAATCTTTTCTCTGTCTTCACGCCCTTTTACATTGCGTGTATTCTAGAAGTGTGAAAATGCGGAAACATTATAGACAATGTGTGATTCAGCATTTATTTTCATTTAATTCAATCTGAATAATGTTGTACAGTATTTGCTAAGTTAAGTTGGGACTTTCTTTTTCAGCACTTCCTGGGTTTGGAGTTGGTAGGAGACCAGCACTGTGCCACCCTGGTGCACTCTCATGACACAGACACGCGTGCCACCATGAACCTGGCATTAGGCGGGGACGTGATCGCAGCAGGGCAGGACGGCAGCTGCAGCCTCATGCGCTTCAGACAACGCCAGCCCAGGGGCAAGGCCGCAGCCAAAGATGGCAAGGAAGGAACACCCCCAAAAACCTGCCATTCACTTTTATAAACCTCTTTATACACAAAGTTCAAATGATCTTTACAGATACATTTACTGTAACATCATTCCTATCTTACATTTCATCTCTTACATCTGTGTTTCTCAATCCTGGTCCTGGTGACCCAAAGGGCTGCACGTTAGCACTAACACACTTGATTCATCTAATCAACTCATCATCAAACCTTTGATTATTTCAATCACGTCTGTTTGTGGTAGGGAAAAAACAAAAATGTTTGGTTCCCCAGGAGAATGATTGGGCAACACTGCCTTACATTAACACATCACTATTCCCCTTACTCTCCAGCAGGGGGTGGCAGTGAGCAGGGCACAGCTAGGAGACGAGCTGGGAAAGGGGGTAAGGGTAGTGAGGGAACTGCTGCTGCTGGGGGTGACGTGTCCGAGATGAAGGATAACACCACCCAGATCTTTGTTGACACGTTTGGGGAGGTGCAGTCGGACCTCAACCCCCAGGACCCCCTCCAGAAGTGTGTGAGGTTCAGTCCCGACCTCAGCCTCCTACTGACTGGCGGGACAGACGGACACATCAGAGTGTGGGAGGTGAGTTGAAGTTATGCCAAAATGGCCGCCATGTTGAGACTTCTCCCCAATTGTTACTTTCCAGGTTTTGAGCTTGACTGTAATGCCTCTGCTCTCTCACCAGTACCCCTCCTTAAAAGAGAAGTTGGACTTCAAAGCCCATGAGGGAGAAATTGAAGACTTGGACATCAGTCCGAATAACAAGGTACTAAACAGCTAATAAGTATATGACCTCTGTCTGTCTGTGTTGGAATCACAGTAATAAAGAGGTTATAAACATGCTATAACAATGTACAAGCTAAACTGGTAAGTGTTTTCTGACCTGTGTGTTATTTTGTGTTTCTGTGTAGCACCTTGTGACGGTGGGCCGGGACTTTGCCTGCAGTATATGGAGTGGCAACCAGCTGGCCATGAGCCTCTGTTGGCATGAGAATATGCCTCAGATAGCAGCAAAGTCATACCGCTATATGTCTTGCAGGCAAGCACATACCCCTTTCTCCTACGAATTGTCACATACCCTGTTACATTACCGACATATGGCTCTGGTCCAATAGCCACACTATCATACCACCTATGTTTTTTCTCTCTCCCGTTTAGGTTTGGAAAAGTCGAGGACCAGAAAGACGCCCTGAGGCTCTACACCGTCCAGATCCCCCACAAACGAGACAGAAAACCTCCACAATGCTACCTCTCGAAATGGGACGGCAAGAACTTCCTCCCCATGCTGACGAACCCCTGCGGCACTGAGGTCATCTCCACCCTGGCTGTCAGGTGAGGAAGGATGGAGAGGATGCCTAGGATTCAATTAATCTTTCCTTGATTACGTGCATCCTATTTCTTCGCCCCCTTCTGAACCGTATTGGAGAAGAAGGTCCCTCCCCTCAGACCTTCTTTTCCAGTGTATTTTGAGAAGGTGAGGAGGAAAATCAGAAAGGATGTGAGGAATTGAGCAAAGATGAATTGAGAAAGAGCCTTATTTGTTCATCTCAGATAAGGTCGCTTAACTGCTCATTGCAGTTATTGCTCTGTGATGTTACTGTGTAATAAATGTGTAATAAATGTAGGGCTGGGCGATATGGCCAAAATATCATATCACAATATTCTTCACCTTTATGATGGTATTTTTTAATAATAAAAGTTATACATTTGCTTTATGAGTTGTGCATGACCCTAGGGTGGCTACACATACATTCAAAATGATTTCAATGGGGCTTTCTCTATTCTGATTGTTTTGTACTGTTCAATCAAACTTCAACCAAAAGTTGATCTCATTTGAGATAATTTCCACACTGCCACGTAGGGCTGCATGATATGTGCATATTAACCAAATAGTGCAATTGTGATTTGACTTGCGATTTAGATCAAAACACTTGGGTGAACTGTTGGAATCATGAAAATAGAATGATTATTCGAATTCTACACTCACCGTAGAGTTTATTAGGTACATCACCCCGTTCAGGAAAATGGATCGCTCCTACAGACAGTGAGTCACGTGGCCGTGGCTTGCTATATAAAGCAGGCAGACCGGCATAGAGGCATTCAGTTACTGTTCGATTGAACGTTAGAATGGGCAAAACGAGTGACCTAAGTTACTTTTAGCGTGGTATGATTGTCGGTGCCAGGCACGCCGGATCCAGTATCTCAGAAACGGCCGCCCTCCTGGGCTTTTTTGCACGACAGTGTCTAAGGTTTACAGAGAATAGTGCGACAAACAAAAAACATCCAGTCACCAGCAGTTCTGTGAAACAGCTCGTTGATGAGAGAGGTCGAAGGAAAATGGCAAGACTCGTGCACGCAAACAAACAAATAACAGTGCAGTACAACAGTGGTGTGCAAAACGACATCTCGGAATGCACAACCCGTCGATCCTTGTCACGGATGGGCTATTGCACCAGACGACCACACCAGGTTCCACTCCTAGCAGCTAAAAACAAGAAGAAGCGGCTCCAGTGGCCACGCGATCACCAACATTGGTCAATTTGAGGAGTGGAAAAACATGGCCTGGGCTGACGAATGCTGTTGTGTCATGTTGATGGCAGAGTCAGGATTTGATGTAAGCAGAATCCATGGAGCCATCCTGCCTGGTGGTGTACTGGTGTGGGGTATTTTTTCCTTGTACACGTTAGGTCCCTTAATACCAATTGAGCAACAAACGTTTCCGACACCTTGTAAAATCCATGCCCAACGATTTCAGGCTGTTCTGGAGGCAAAGGGGGTCCAACACGGTACTAGTTGGGTGTACCTAATAAACTGTCCGGTGAGCGTATAGTTAGAATATAATAGTGGGCACATTGAATACAGTGTTTGACATGACAACGTATGAGAAAGCCAGGGAGGCGTTCATAGAATTTAAGAATTTGAATACTAATAGGAGGCGTTATTGTGACGGGGTAGGAACCAAAGTGTTGGTCAGTGTTTCCCAGGGGAGTGGAACCCTATAATCTTTGGCTGTATTACATGTTTCTCTTACTTCATGTAGCTAGCTAACATATGCTCTCTGATTTTAATAGACACTGTTGCACAAACAACCTGCTGATTTAAGCCTACACCAGCACTGGTATCAGGCTGTATTAGCTAGCTACATTTGCTCTAACTCAGTACAGTTATTAGCTAGCCAGCTAACAAGCGATTAGCATTAGTGTCTAACACGATTATTTTAGCCACAACTTGCTAAGAAAAGACAAACTAGCTGTTTGCTGACAGTAAGATACACTATTAGTTTGTGTTATTATAGAACCATTATATTAAGAAGCAGAGTGGAAAGCAGCATCGCTGTCATCAACATATTGTTGCATCTACTGCATTGACCATGCAGACTGAAGAGTGAACTGTCGGCAAATGATCTCGTGGTCTAACAACAACTGCGCTCCTTGAGTGACGGGGCTTGGTGAGAGAGACGACTCAAGTAGCGGAGTAAACTATAAAAACGGAGTGGCGTATCACATTTTAACAAACCAAACATTGAAATACCATTCTAGAAGGTAAAGTAAAAAACCAAACCGGTCTGTGCATCAATACCACTATATAGTAAAATACGGTATACCGCCTAGCCCTAAATTAATGTAATTGTAGTAGATATTTGTTCTTCCCTGTTAACCAGGAGTCAATGGCTCTTTTTTTTAAAATTCTCGCTGTGTTCCACAGTGACTCTGGAACCTTTCTCGGCCTTGGGACAGTGACGGGATCAGTAGCAATCTATATCGCCTTTTCACTACAGGTAGACAAACACACACACACACACACACAATAATTAGCTGCCTTTAGGATTATCCCTATGTAACTCCCTATTTATCTTGTCTCATTGTCTCTGTAGAAGTTGTACTATGTGCAGGAGTCACACGGCATTGTGGTGACTGATCTGGCCTTCCTGCCTGACACTCCCAAAGGCCAGAGCCTCAAAGGGAACAACGAGGCAGCCATGTTGAGTGTGGCTGTGGACAGCCGCTGTCAGATGCACACTGTACGCAACCGAAGTAAGTGGTGGTTGTCTTCAACAGAACCAACCTGATTTGGTAGCATTGATTTAGCATTGTGAGTAGCATTGTGTTCTCCCTCACCCTCCTTCGTTATCTCTCTCCCTGTATCTCCACCATCCCAGGATCCTTCCCTATCTGGATGGTGCTGTTCTTCTGTGGCGTCATGGTGGTGGGAGCCGTCCTGCTCCTGCAGCACCTCTTCCCAGGATTCATTTAGACATTGAGAATGGACAGAGAATGAAAGAATCCCAGACAGCCCTACAACCACTACCAGCCCTACGATCATCTTCAACAACAACTACAACAACCTCTGAGGAACTCCCCTGACGCAACTCAACCCTGGAACACGCATCCATCTCCTACCTATAGTCATCTTACCACACTTACCCAACCGTGGAACATTTTAACCACACTTGCCCAACCCTGGACTGCATCTACTAGAGCCATTTACCCACTCTTAACCCAACCGTCCCAACCCAACAACATTCCCTGCATCAATATCTATACCCTTAACCAATATTTGTATCCCCCATCCTTCCCTGTCATCCCTGGCCTTGATTCAGGACTGCCACCCCCTCAGTGAACCATCTGTGCTCCTTCGACCCCCAATTCCGCCAGACACACACCATTTTCTTGATCTGTATCAATCAGTCTTAATCTTCTTTTTGCTTTTAAACCATGGTGGGGAGTTAAGGCCTCAGCTTCAGATCTATATCATCATGAATGTGCAAGGGGTGGGGGCTTTTTATTGTAGATATTTAAGAAATAATGTAACATTATAAATATAATACTTAAAAATGATTGCTCTTCTGTCAGTCTCCATCTGTCCTGTGCATACATAGACACACACTTGTAATTTTAGCAAGTTGGTTGGATAACATTTCTGCTTATGGATTTTCTGTTACAGTTTGCAGTGAGGCCTGTTTTTCCTGCTTTGTCCACTAGTGGGCATCATAGACCAAATGTCTTACATTTACATGTACATTTTAGTCATTTAGCAGACGCTCTTATCCAGACTGGAAAGCAGGGCAGGCAACAGGGCATCATGACCTTCAAGGAAAACTCAAAGTCAATGCTTTGGAGGACTCCAATTTGCTCACCATTCCATGGGAAACCTTACAATTGGAGGTGCGTGAAGGCTTTTGTATCAGTATCCTTAAGAGGGTCTCCTTTCCAGGCCCTATTCAGTCATAAACCAATGACAGAGGAAGGGATCTGGATCATTTTGTCTCCCCACTCATCCATGTATGTAAAACCCATTGAGTCTGCCGAGGGCTTGCCTCTTGCATTCAGGCTAACCAGATTGACAGATGGAAGGGTGGTCTTTGTCTGCGCACCAGCTCATGATTAACCATTCGTAGTTATGGTGAGTGGTCCTGAGTGCTCTAGCCACTCTCGTGTCATTTAACACTACTTAGCTAAGATAGAAGAAAGAGCTAATGATCCAGTGTATGTGATGGTTTTCTGTATTTGCAGAGTCTACATACTGTACAGTGTCTTCGGAAAGTATTCAGACCCTTGACTTTTTCCACATTTTGTTACGTTACAGCCTTATTCTAAAATTGATTGAATCGTTTTTCCCCCCTTAATCTACACACAATATCCCATAATGACAAAGCAAAAACAGGTTTTTAGAAATTTGTGCTAATTTATAAAAAATAAAAAACACTAATCACATTTACATAAGTATTCAGACCCTTTACGCTGTACTTTGTGGAAGCACCTTTGGCAGCGATTACAGCATCGAGTCTTGGGTATGACGCTACAAGCTTGGCACACCTGTATTTGGGGAGTTTCTCCCATTCATCTATGCAGATCGTCTCAAGCTCTGTCAGGTTGGATGGGGAGCGTCGCTGCACAGCTATTTTCAGGTCTCTCCAGAGATGTTTGATCGGGTTCAAGTCCGGCCTTTGGCTGGGCCACTCAAGGACATTCAGAGACTTGTCCCAAAGCCACTCCTGCGTTGTCTTGGCTGTGTGCTTAGGGTCGTTGTCCTGTTGGAAGGTGAACCTTCGCCCCAGTCTCAGGTCCTGAGCGCTCTAGAGCAGGTTTTCATCAAGGATCTCTCTGTACTTTGCTCCGTTCATCTTTGCCTCGATCCTGACTAGTCTCCGAGTCCCTGCCGCTGAAAAACATCCCCACAGCAGGATGCTGCCACCACCATGCTTCACCAGGTTAACTCCAGATGTGACGCTTGGCATTCAGGCCAAAGAGTTCAATCTTGGTTTCATCAGACCAGAGAATCTTGTTTCTCATGGTCTGAGTCTTTAGGTGCCTTTTGGCAAACTCCAAGCGTGCTGTCATGTGCCTTTTACTGAGGAGTGGCTTGTGTCTGGTCACCTCCTTGACCAAGGCCCTTCTCCCAAGATTGCTCAGTTTGGCCGGGCGGCCAGCTCTAGGAAGAGTCTTGGTGGTTCCAAACTTTTTCCATTTAAGGATGATGGCGGCCACTGTGTTCTTGGGGACCCTCAATGCTGCAGAAATGTTTTGGTACCCTTCCCCAGATCTGGGCCTCGACACAATCCTGTCTTCGGAGTTCTAAGGCCATTTCCTTCGTCCTCATGGCTTGTTTTTTGCTCTGATATGCACTGTCAACTGTGGGACCTTATATAGACAGGTGTGTGCCTTTCCAAATCATGCCCAATCCATTGAATTTACCACAGGTGAACTCCAAGTTATAGAAACAGCTCAAGGATGATCAATGGAAACAGGATGCACCTGAGCTCAATTTCGAGTCTCATAGCAAAGGGTCTGAATACTTATGTAAATAAGGTATTTCTGTTTTTTTTTTAAATAGATTTGCAGACACTTCTAAAAACCGGTTTTCGCTTTGTCATTATGGGGTATTGTGTGTAGATTCCTGAGATTATTGTTATATTTAATCTATTTTAGAATAAGTCCAACATAACGAAATGTGGAAAAAGTCAAGGGGCTGAATACTTTCTGATGGCACTGTATATCAGCATTGTATGGTCTTTTGTAGCATGGCATTCAAGATTCTACACGTTCTAGTCCAAAGCACCATGGAGAGTGCTTGGTTTGTTTCAATTGGCCGACTAACACTATCATCAGGCTATATAGTTCATCTGTGTTTGTTTCAACCAATTAAACACTATTGGAATCTCTTTTGTCGAGGCTTAATGGCCTTCAACTAAAGAGCTTTAATGACTTTCTCTTCCACTTTCTTCACACTCCTTAAAATAATGCCACCAGCCCGTCTGGGTACCTGACTATGTAACAGCTTGGTTCTGGCCCCTAGTCTCACCACCATCCCTCTACATGCCTGGCCTAAGCACTTGCGTTGTTGCAGAGATGGAAAGGTTGCTGTGATACACTGCGACGTGTTCATTAAGCACCAAATGCAAGACAACGGACTAAAACAGGGAGGGACTACCTGGATTTATCCAAAAAGAAAGGCACATTTTAGTTTCCCATTGCAAAAATGTCTGATGTATGCCCTTATTGAACACGACCCAGGAGCATAATAGCAGGAGATACAAATTAGAGGTATAGAATGGACATTCTCTACCGTGCGGAATAGAGAACTTTGTAATCTGGGACATTTTAAATGTTTGGTCCAACCGATTCACATCATAATCATTATAGGTGCTTTGCCAGTGACAACAAAGACACTTCTTTAGGAAGCAAGAAACCTTGAGAGGCTTGCATTGCTGGCATGTTGGCTGCAATATTGTTTGGCTTTGGCATACAGAACACACTGGATGGGGTTTTGGCCTTAAACCAGCCAGCAGTTGGATTGCAATTTGTTTGATCAGAATTTACTTGCCAATTTTCCTCCCTTTGAAAAACATCAATGCCTTTGATCACTGATTGGTAGAAGGTCAAGGAGTGTGTGCTCTCTACCTCTGTTCATTTTCTGTTACAGCAGCAGTGTGTCATTTGTACACTCTCTGAAATACAAACAAACAGGCAGAATATACATTTTAAAGGTCCAATGCAGCCATTTCTATTTCAATATCAAATAATTTCTGGGTAACAATTAAGTACCGTGATTGTTTCCAATTCAAATGATCAAAAATAAACAAAAAGAGCTTCTTAGCAAAGAGCAACTTCTCAAGCAAGAATTTTGTTAGGACTGTCTGGGAGTGATCTGAGTGGGGAGAGGAAAACTGAAAACTAGCTGTTCTTGGCAGAGAGGTTTGGAACTCTTTCTTATTAGTCTATTAACCAATTGACTACCTGGTGATGTCACCAGGCAGGCCAAAACTCCATCCCACCAAAACAGTCAGAAATTTCAGGCTGTCTTTTCAAACCGCTAAAAGGGCATTATCATAATTTTCATAATTTCACAATATTATTCCAACCTCATAGTGAGGAAGTATATACAGTATAAAACACATGAAAATCACATATTTGACTGCACTGGGCCTTTAAAGAGATTCTCCAGTACTTTTGTATACTTTTTAGCCAGTAGTTCTGAAAGCAGTCCCCGAAAATTGCGTACTAGGTCACATATGTGCACCACGTCATTGCTCTCGCTCTCTCTCTGCTGTCCACTGAGTTGTTGGGCCCGCCCTGCAACCTCATTGGATAATGCTGGGCAGGCCTCTTGCTAGCTGTCACTCAAATGCGAGGGGCTAAAGCTCATTGGCTAGAACTCGAATTGCTAGGGGGCTGTCCCACATGAGGGAAATGTAGGGAAAATGTCATGGCACAACTTCAAGAAAACAGTCGCTTTCAAACTAGGGATTTTGTGGCTAACTGAGGTAAGACGGTAATTCTGCTAATTGATTATGAATGTGTAACAGGGTTGTTTCCACTTGACACTGCAGAAATATGTATTTGATATTTATGTATTCATATTGGTTGGTTGAATTTACATATATGTGTGGTGTTATGCCATTGGTCATGCTTGCAGATAGGGGGAGATCACGAATTTAAATTCTGGTGGTAAGTGGTAGGTCATGTTCTGAAATACTTATAATGTGTACGAGTTCACTATGCACATGTCCTGATGTGTATATACAGTATATACACTACCGGTCAAAAGTTTTAGAACACCTACTTATTCAAGGGTTTTTCTTTATTTTTACTATTTTCTACATTGTAGAATAATAGTGAAGACATCAAAACTATGAAATTACACTTACGGAATCATGCAGTAACCAAAAAAGTGTTAAACAAATAAAAATATATTTGAGATAGCCACCCTTTGCCTTGATGACAGCTTTGCAGACTTGGCATTCTCTCAACCAGCTTCACCATGCTTTCCACCTGGCTACCCCTACCCCGGCCACCAGCTCTGCCCCCCCCCCCCCCCGCTTCTCCTTCACCCAAATTCAGATAGTTGATGTTCTGAAAGAGCTGCAAAATCTGGACACCTACAAATCAGCTGGGCTAGACAATCTGGACCATTTCTTTCTAAAATTTGCCACCGAAATTGTCGCAACCCCTATTACTAGCCTGTTCAACCTCTCTTTGGTAGCGTCTGAGATCCCCAGAGATTGGAAAGCTGCCGCGGTCATCCCCCTCTTCAAAGGGGGTGGCACTCTAGATCCAAACTGTTACAGACCTATATCCATCCTGTCCTGCCTTTCGAAAGTATTTGAAAGCCAAGTTAACAAACAGATCACCGACCATTTAGAATCCCACCGTACCTTCTCCGCTATGCAATCTGGTTTCCGAGCTGGTCATGGGTGCACCTCAGCCACGCTCAAGGTCCTAAACGATATTATAACCGCGATCGATAAAAGACAGTACTGTGCAGCCGTCTTCATCGACATGGCCAAGGCTTTTGACTCTGTCAATCACTGCATTCTTATTGGCAGACTAAATAGCCTTG